CCGGAGCGCCACTGGACAAACTCGATTGCTAAAACGTATGTGGCGCATCAAAGAATTAAATGATTAATATGCTCCCGGCGGGAGGTAACGGGTAAAAGGCTCCCCCAGGCCAGATTGCATATCAAAGGCTGCTGCTTTTCGATAATAATTTGGTTTCGTTAATGTCGGTCATTAGTTTTTGTAAACTCAAAGGGTGCGAGTCGCAATTTTTTATTTTTTGAAGTGAGAATATATTTGTATAATAAATGATTTGCATTTGCCTCTTCGGCGATATAAAATTCGACCTTGATTAATTTTTATACAATTGAAATGCGCTTGCATTGTGCTGTAAAATTCGACTTCAATTAGAGTCCACCTATCTAGATGACAATTACCGATTGGTTGAAGGAATAATCGCTTTTAAGTATTACCTTTCTCGTTTGGATAGAAAATACAAGTTTTTAATTAAAAGTTGTATTTTTATTGCTTCATTATGAATTGAAGTGTATTGTTATGTACGGAAAAGCTCATCTTATAAATGGCTTTCCGGCTTTGCCGGTATAGGCACATCCTTATTTTGAAACGTCTCATAGCCATTTTCGGTGCTTCCAACTCAAAATTCGTCCCATGAAAATGAGTCTCGTCACAAAAAGTATCATTATACTTCGTATTTCCTGAAAAATGCGTTGCAAGGCGAATAAAGATCATAGCAAGTGACTTGTGTGCTTTATTCAGGGTGTCTAAGATCACTAATTGTCATAATTACCTTTTTAATTAATTCCTTCAAAATTGATAAAGTTAAATCACTATTCAGAAAATGTTTTGTATAAATTGTTAATAATCTTTCGCTAGTAGCTGGCACGCCATCTTTGTTTTTCGTTAACAACACTACCCTATGTGCGATACCCTTGAATTTGATACCCAGTATGCCTGTTTTCCTGAAGTCATGACATATACTGAAAATATCTGAGATTTGTTTCTCCACACCCACACCCTACATTTCGCCCGCGCAGACTAGACGGCCATTGCCGAGTGCTTGACCAACGAGCTGTTGTAAGGTTTGAGATTATTCGTGGTTTTAATGGCCGGTCCTGATTTTGTATTTTGTGTTTCTTTGTAGCCGAATGAGAATTCAATAAAAAAATGATGCTAACCATAAATGATGGATCCTACTGTATTGAAATACAGTCTGAAACCACTGCCTTCGATAGAACCAATTCTGCTTTGGGTATTTTTATTTCTGTCCCCATAACAATGAACGATTTAGGATTAGACACAAATAGAGCAAATATTATCCTAGAAAAACTGTTGCAAATGTGTAAATAAACTGTTGTTCCTAACAAACTAGTTTTATCCAACTCTCTTTACCGCATCTGATCTAATTTTCCACAGTAATTTAATACTTTTATTGCATAGAAGCACGAAACAGGTTTTCTCAGGGTAGCCGTTAGTTAAAAGTTGTCTTGAATGGAAAAACTTTAAAATCTGATTTTTTGGTCTTGTGGTAAAACAGAAAACACGAAAAGGATATTTTCAGAATTGCTATTGAGAATTGCTTCTTCGCCTGACAGGATGACTAATTTGTCATCCTATAATAACATTTTCGAAACTGCAAAACAGTGTTTTTCCATTTTTGCTTCCTTTCTAATTGCATTTTAACATAATTTGCTGACTCCTTTATCTCATATTAGGTCACTAGGTACCCAGATCTCATACCCTTGGGTGTCCTAAAGTCGTAAACACAGTGTTCTCAGTACTCAAAAAAGAAATATCTTCCTCGAAACCAAAAATTCGAAATTCTAATTCCTAATTCCAATAGGGTAGACAATGCGCAATGTGTTTGTGTTTTCGCATATTAGTCAATAGAGAATAACATACTCTTTGAATGGGATTCACTGGCAATTTTTTTAACATCGAAAAATTCTAATGAATGGCTACCGTAAAAAAACTCTACACCTAAATTAAGTTTGTTATATGAAATTTTAAACGATTGAATTGAACGGTTGCTCAAAATTTAAAAAGCATCGCATCGCTCTTGGAAATGAGAAGGGTATGCATTGGGTTTCCATCTCGATTTTAACATAAAGCTGCCCAAGCTTTACACAGAAGCCGTAAAACTATGGATTTATTTCATGGCGGCCGTTAAACGTTCTTGGAACAGTTGAAATTCCCAAAAACCATAAACAATTAACTAAAAATAACACAAACGTAAATTTGGTTGGGGATTGCCGTGTCCACATTTTGTTCAGTCTTAATACTTCGATGCGTTGGGGGTCTGGAGTAAAATACATTGGCTGTTAGATTTTCTTTTGGAAATCTTTATATTTATAGGTTAAACTCGAAGATTTCGTACGTCTTGCAATTAACTATTGATTTATAGGCTGCTTTCAAAAAGCTTCGTTTAAAACCCATCCCAATTTTGTTTCTAAAATAGCAGTCCTGTTATATTTTAAGTCTCAGGAATTATGAATAATGACTGGATATTGAATACGGTCAAGTCCGTATGAAGACCAAATTCCCAATTGATTGATGATCGTCCAAAAGGTGTAATTTAAATGCTCTTCTCTGCGTTATTTTATGAGGATATTTACGAATTTCACTTCTTAGTCAGAAATTCGTCTTTACCTCAGAGCGCATACCTGCTTCAGGTATTTATTTATATCAATATATAGAGTAACTGACTTATTAAAAGTATTTTGTGATATCTGCGAATGTGTGTATTTGTATTATTCTTCAAGAAAATAACTTTTTTCTCAACGTAAGTGTCGTCGTTAATACTCGTTGATCTGTGAATAACGTCTACAAAATTAGAATTATTTTCAATTTTAACTGTATTTCGAAAATAAATGGATCTTAAAATAATCGAGCAAATACACAGTAAACGACTCAATTCCATCCCATAACAACAGTCTAAAATATTCTGTAGACTCGAGAGTCAAGAAACACTAAACAAATGAAGGGGAAACCGATGACCTGGAGCTTGGAGACTATTCACGGACAGAGACTTATAAAAAAGTCAAAGAGCGTAATTAAGTAGAACGCCCTTAGTAAAATGGTAGCTTGAAAAGAGTTATTAAAAAAATCTCGATCTCTAATTAATAATTTAGACAGATTGATTGGGAGACATAACATTTATTCGGTTCGCACCTGAAACGGACTGGAAGATAATTGGAACTATGTGAAATAAAATAAAATATTTAATCAAACTGATTAATACCAGAATCGTCTGAATACGGAAATCGTTTTCTTTTTTCTGATTTATATTGTCCCTAAATGCAGCACGGCACATAAATAGGTTTTTTGCAAGGTCCTTGAGGCATTTCAATTAGGAACTTATAAAAATATTAAATTATTGAGGGTTTGTTTACTCCGAGACCTTGTTTCTAATTTTGAAATTTATCGAGAAGCACGTTTTACGGGAAATCAGAAATCCCTCGGATTCATTTTGGCATTCGATAAATTTCTCGTGTAAAGAACCCAGTGAATGTTTTGGGTTTGGTATTTTCCTTTAGAAGATTACGTATAACTATAAAGAGCATTCTATACAAAAGAAGAAAATTTTTAAAAAATATTTGCGTTATGTAATTACATTTTAATAATATTATTTAATTAATTATAATTTCGCCATCACCGTTTGGGAGGAATCTGTTATTGATTAAATTAAAATTTCATCATGAAGAACTTTACAGAACTTTTTTGTGTACTTAAGGTTAAAATGAATCTTGTTTGTTATATTATAGGTCTAGATTTAAATAAAATATAATCTTTAATATACTTTTAACCTTGAACTTCATATTAGACCTAAACAGAATTAATAAATGACAATAAATGTATTATTACTTTGATAGATAACAAACGTCGTGGTCGAGCTTTCTAAAAGATACACTTTGGAAAGCAGAATGTAAAGGGTGATTCAATAAGGGTTTCCACATTAACATATTAAAATAACTCGGAAGAATATAAAAATATACAAACATTTTTATTTGCCGTTTTAGATTAGTGTATTACAATTAGGTAAGAAAGATGATGTCAATCAAATGACCCCCGCGACTCATGTGGCATGACGTAATTCGTTTATTGAAATTTCCTATCATTTTTTGACACAATTCAGGTTCTATGCCGGCAATTTCGCGTCTAATCTCCTGTTTCAGCTCTGAAATAGTGTTTGGTTTATTTCAATACACTCTGCTTTTTAGATACCCCCAAAAAAAATCTAGGGGATTAAGATCACATGATCGCGGCGGCCAATTGATATCGCCGTTACGTAAGATAATCCGACCGGGAAACTTTCCCCGCAGCAATTGCATCGTTTCTCTGGATGTATGACAAATGGCTCCATCCTGTTGGAACCACAAATCTTAAATGTCCAATGCGCACCAAACAGTCACTTTTTGAGGATGTATTGCTTTTTGAAGAATCTCTCTTGGATTTTCTAATCCCCAAATACGAGCGTTGTGTTTGTTTACAAAGCCACCAACGTGAAAATGAAAATCGCTAAAGATGATTTTCGTTGAAAATTGTCGCTGTTGATGATCTCGAGGTTTCAACTCCTGAGTTATTTGGGCTTTATATGGGTGTAGATGTAAGTCTTTTGTTAAAATTCGCTCTGCGGTTGAATATGTAAGGCCCACTTGCTGTGATCGATGACGAGTCGATGTGTTTGGTTCTTTTTTTTTTTGAATTTTTGAACCACATTCCAAATTGTCCTCTCAGAAGGTCGATTTTGCGCTCCGAAAAATTCACGTAGAGCCCGAAATGCATTTTTTCTTGATCAACCATTTTCATAATAGGCTTGTGCAATTTTCACACGTTGTCCAGTCGTATATTGCTCCATGACTAATTTTGTTCATGTGTTGAGGTTAGAAATCTCATATGATAATAAACAAATACAGTGGCTTTTCAAAAATATTTCAGATTGTAATGTGGAAACTCTTATTGAATCACCCGTTATATTAAATTTATAAATTAAAAAACGGGAAAACTGGCCGAAAATTAAACACAAACCTCGCGTTTTATTACAGGCAGAGAGGACTTTAGCGAGACGGAATCTGAGCCGGGAATTCCTCTGAAGCGCAAACAAAGACGTTCCCGGACTACGTTCTCTGGGGAGCAGTTGGAGGCCCTGGAGCAAGCTTTTAGACGGACGCGGTATCCGGATGTTTACACTAGGGAGGAGTTGGCACAACAGACGGGGCTTACGGAAGCCCGAATACAAGTAAGCGAGAGACAACTAACTCATTTTAGCGGATTACTTTTCCATTCGTGGAGTTAATATTATCTAGAGTTTGTTGTTTTTATTCGAGTCGGATATGAATTTTCGTTATTTAACATTTAAGCAATCCGTTTCGCGCGGAGGAGATTTTAGATTTTCGTGCAGGCTTTTATTTTAAAAATGTTTCATTTTTAGTTGAGTTATGCGTTAACTCAAGGTGAAAGTTGATGTGGATAAGATGCAGTGACGCAGTCAGTTTTCTTCCGGAACTCACAAATTTTGATGTTGTTCTTAATGCAACACCCTGTATATCTTTTAATAATTTTATTAATTAAAATTAAATCTTTAATTTGGCATTTTTTTATGAATACATTTCGTGATTATTATTTTAATTTCTGATTTCTTTTTCCTTCTGGATATGATGTATCATTAATGCGAATTTAATATTGGACACATTACTTTACTTTGGCGGGTATAATACGACCAAAAACATAGTGTAGTATTTTACGGTCTCTCAACCCCAGACCTTTCCAGGACCGTGGTAAAATCCATCCCAACAGATGTTTATTCTGCATTAAAATGTCTGAGATGGACCGTAACGAATATTTGTAGAAACTTGAAATCTTTATCTGAAACGTAAACGGACCTTTTTAAATTTGGGGTATTTTCGAATAAGTCGAAGCATTTATTTTAACATCAGGTTATATGTATTCTTCTTAAGAGTTTAATCAAAATAAGTAAGAGTAAGTACCTGTACTCTATTTATCTTACACGTAAGTTTGAAAATAATGATTTTTGTCTTGTGTGCCTGTCGATTAACAACATTCTTGTTCTTGTATTTTTGTATCTTCGATTTGTAAACAACAACAGTCTTTTTTAAGACTATATATTATAATCGTGCGAGGTAGGTACGTCACAAGAATGCAAATAAATATTTATTAGAATCTTACAATTAAAGATTGTTTGAAGGTTCCCGCTTTTTAACACTTTAAAATGTGGACCCCGTGGAATGAAGCACATTTTCCCTTGCTAGAAGAAGACATGGAAAACGACGCAGAATTTGAATACGAAGTGGAGATGGTAGTCGAACTTAATGACAATCTAGAAGATGAACTACATCGACAAATAAAAAAACGAATCCATTTGTCTTCAGATACTAAAAAAAGTTTATAAGAAATTCGGAAGGCAAGTAGGAGCAACAATAAAATCAAGTTAAAAAAAATGTTGCCAATGGGATAGTCAAGAGGAAAGTGGGAGAAGAACCGTATAAAAAAGTACTGACAGATTTAAACATTAGTTGTGCCAAAGACTCGTTGCATACTTTTCTGAAGAAAATGGACTTTCAGTTCCAAACAATTAAGTCAAGTGCTAATGGAATTTCACAGAATTCCGCAATGTAGGGTGGATTATTTAAATGCAATTGAAAAATTTAGGCCAATAGTGTTCGACACTCACGACAGAGTAAAAAAATGATGGTGTGACAACAGTAACAAGTGTATACTAGAAGTGGCGTCTTACCATAGAAAACGCTTAATAATTCTTCATGATGGGTCTAGAAATGGTTGTCTGCCAAAAAAGTCAAAGATTCAAGTGTGGATTACCAAGAAAACGCGACCGCGGAAATATTTGAGGGCTGGTTTGAAAATGAACTGTAGCCAAAACTATCGCCAAAAAGTGTTATTGTCTTGGATAATGCCTCGTATCAATCAGCCCAAATTAGAAAAGTTCCAAATAGCTACACGAAGAAGCAACTTCTCGAATTATTAAAAATGAAACATTTTAATAAATACTACAAAATCCATTCGATAGCACAACAACAGGAAATCTAGAGATTACTCCCGCATCATTGTATATTTAAGCCGATTGAGATGATTTGGTCTAAGTCTGAGAGCGCATATAAGAAGTAACACTGCACCATAGTGATAGTGAAGTAGCTAAAATATCAATATAAAGCTGGTCTAACTGTGAAAAACGACTAATAAAACGAGAAAATATTTGATCATTGAACCAGGTGATGACAGTAGCGGTAGTGACGATTTTTTAGATGACTGATACTTTTTTTTTATATTAATAATGATACTATGTGCAAATGTTATGAAATAGAACGTAACAAATTGTTACTTCGTACTAATTTTTTTATGTACATATTTCAAAAATTGCTCGGCGGTAAAGTTTGAAAAATAAATTCCTAGTACAGTCCTGGAATGGTTACATGTAAGGGTCTACTCGGCAGGGTGTAATAAACAGTAGGCAAAGTTAATCACTGGGTCGGTTGTAAAAGCACTATATTTCTGGTCTAAGTATAACTAAGTGCATTAAATGATGTTATTAATGGAAAAAACATGTCAAATATGTAAGTGATCCAAATTGATATTTTTTATTATCATTTACAGTGTGTCCCATTTTTTACGGCTTTTCTCCCTTACTAATAATATACCACTTTGGCGGGTCAAGAACACGTGCAAAAGTGTTACTTGTCAAAGAATTGAAAGAACACGCTGGACGTTTTTAACAACATAACTATGAAAAAAAAAGTAAATTAAGCTAAAGTTATCCTAAATAATAAGTGGAGCTATTTACCAATTTTAATACAATACGAAAATATTTAAAATTAAATAATAAAAAATTACCACTGTCGTGGCACATAAGGCATTTGAAAGGCGCTGGTCACAACCATAACCAAATAAAAGTGTCGTATGGACATATCAAAGGCCTCTAATCATAGAGAGATTATATTTCCCATTTTAAATTGCAACATCTTTTTTTATATACCAGTTACATTTAATCGAGAGTTATTAGCTAAGAAAATAACAGTGTTTTTACCATTCCTAGATATATTTATTAGGAAGTTTTTAATTTTCTGGTTAAATGGTACAAAATCTAGCTGCCAGCCAGGTTTATATAGCAATGCCGTCCTATGTACTTTCTGGCAACTGGATCACTTAATTGGAATTGTTTCATAATTATGTTGCGAAGCAAGTCCAAAATATGCCTGAAGATTGTTGTCTTATATTTAGTGTTTAGGCTAAGCTAAGCTAATGAAATAAATTATTTTTAAAAGGATCGAGATATCATCAATTATAACTACATAATAGTTATTTTTTGTTTTTGAGGGTATAATTATTATTATTACTATTAAACAGATGACTTGCCCATCTACCGAAATATGTTGCATTATATGGAAAATTTTGCGTAGGCGTTCCTTAGAATCGAACAACCCTCGCAACATCTACTGCGAAAATAACAATGCCCCTTATCAGCCCTGATATTGGCACACCATCTTTCCATAATTTCCGCTCTTGAACGATGAGAATTGCCCTCTCGCTTCCGCTTTCCGCCACAGGCACTCGAAATAACATGTCTTTCATTAACCGTAATCATATTGAACATTTGAACATTTTTTGTAATATTTGTTTTGGACGCTATGGGTAGCAAAAATGAAATTTGTATTTTTTTTTAATTCTCCTAGTCACTATAATCATTCTGATATTGCTTCAAATCGATCTAAATGTTTTAAATAACAAACGTAGAATGTTATCTATCACTATTTAATAATAAAATTTATTTTATAATAAATTGTTATGCGTTTGTGATGTCCAATTTACCTATAACCCTCTTCAAAGAATACCGGAATGCCATTCGTTGAATCCCAATGAAAATAACCAGTCCATTTAGTCCTCAGAAAGACGCGATAGCGATGTAGCGCACAATATAAATAAATAAATATAAATTTCATTGTGTTTTTAAAATTATTATTACATTGTTTCTTATTTTGATGTTTAAAATTAGCCCCTTCAATATTTCGACGTTTTTTCTGAACTCATAAGTTTTGTCCTATAAGCGAAATAAGACTTATTAAAGATTAGCTTACAGAATAAATGCGAAATAATGCGAAATTTCATAATAAAATTTAAAAAATCGTCCCGATGATTTCAATATTTTTAAAGTATTGGATTAAAGACTGCGAGAATATTATTCATTATTTATTATTAATAATTTCCCTGCGATGGTTGATAAAACAAATATTTATTTTTAAGTCCACATTGAGCAACGGGGAGTAAATAATTGGTATTTTGATGCTTGTTTACTGAAAAGCAAAGGAAGGTAGGCAAAAGGCAATGATTTTAACCCGACTCCGAAAAGTGGGCGTAAAAATAAAAAATGCCCAACCAAATAAAATCAAAAAGCTAAAGAGATCTAAGGGTAATAGCGATATTAAAATTCAATTGATTATTTTCAAAATGGTAAGAAAAAAATGTAATAAGATTTGTACTCTTTAACCTCTTAAGACTCATTGAATTAATTATTAAAATAAAGATAATATTAATTGTGTTTTCAGGTATGGTTTTCAAACCGGCGAGCTCGTCTGCGAAAAAGTGCGGGAAATTCAAACACATTAGCATTTTCGGAATTCCCTCTGGCTAACATGACCTGCCAGTACACTTCGGATGCTCAGTACGATTGGAGAAACGCACAGTTTGTTAACTACAATATGTTTCAGGTATAAGATGAGATAATTGCCCTTAACATTATTTTATTTTCTTGCTTTCTATTTAAACGCCGACCTTTTGTTCTAGCAACCCACGTCGTATAATCAAGACTATAGTCGGACAGACTATACGGCTAATTTTGCCGCAAATTATGCATTCGCCCAGGCGCAGATCAACCGAATGAAGGACCAGAATAGTGCAATCATTAAAGAAGACGATCTGAGCAACCACGCGGCGTCTGTTAGTGCACCGCAAGCTCACACTCAGAGTCAGGCTCAGACGCATCCCTGGGCGAAACACGACGAATGGAGTCAACAGATGGCGTCGGCGATGCAAGATGGCGGGTTTAGTGGCAATGACAGTTTCGTTCACGGTCAGTATGTGCCTGGCGGTCACAAAAATTACTGGAATTGATTTATGATGTAAGATGTAAGATGTTGATGTGTATGTTAAAATGTGCACTAGGAAATAGGGGGTATTTCAAAAAATATACGATAATAGAAACGAAATTGGATATCAATTCTTTCGATTAATTTTGAAACACCCTTCAAGTGCATCTACGCTCAGCTCAGATTACAAATAATGAATTAGAAACTGAGAATTCTGTGCCTTAAAAGGTTGTAGACGAGGTGGATACTAATATGAAAACCAGTTTATAAAAATTGTTACATTACAACTGACTGAAATGTATCGTGTGCCTAGTTTACAACATAATGGGACATATCTACTAGTTCCTAAAAATATTTTTTATTAAATCGATCTGTCCAAATTCAAACCAATTAATGAGTAATATTTATTAATTTTATGTTACATAGATATAATAATAGCCGCGGTTTAAGTGTATATTTTAGAAAATAAAATCATCCTTTCAGAAATTGCGGGTTTTAATTCATGACCTGAATGTGAAGAGTCTAAATTTTCGTGCTTCCAGCGCCATTTTTCTCTTGAACTAGTCTGAAGGATCTTTCTTTGCTTATAATAAGCTGCTTTCTAAACAGGTGCATTTTTTATGACGATAATATTACACGAAATGCGAAAAACAATACAGATTCATTCCTAGAACCATAAGGATATGGACGAATTTAGCAAATAAGAATAGGCATTAACGTTGTACCATAATTTCGAGTTCTATCCTCGAATATTCTAATTTTCAAAAAGATGAAATTTCTGTATATCCGGAAAACGTTGGAAAAGTCAACCACAAATGTCGTTACAGTTGATTAGTCCAAAATTAATACAAAAAACTGCCTTGGTATGGAGAAAAACATTTTTCTTTCTCGCAAGAGCAGTAGGTCCAAAACAAACGTAGAAACAGGAGTGGGAATTTCTTATAAGAATTCCAGGCAGAGATCTAGAGATGGATGGATGGTGGTGGTTGCTACAGATTGAACACGAATATTTAAAAAGTGAACGGAATCTCCTCCTGAACCATTATGTATTGATGAGAATGTACTGGAACAGCGAGCCGAATAAAAGGCTACGAAAACAGTTGCGGTGAATTGATAGGATAGTCTGCCGACACCGGGGCAGTCATCTGAGGTCATCTAACAAGGCACTTCAGGGGAGGATGGGAAGAGATGGAAGCATAGTGGATTGGAAGTTCTGAATGTTATAACCTGGCTGCCTCACGCCGCAGTCACGAGTGGAAAGGAAATCGATAGTGCCGCAACAGCAAAATCTTCTGAAGATTTTCGCTCAGGTTTTGGGATAGAATAAGAGTAAAACACATGCAGATTTAATCTGTTTTTTATTCACCATAAATATACATTTAGACAAAAAATTTACTGGGTAAATATATAACATTATTGTCATTTAATATTAAACACTTATTGTCCGTTTACCTAACATATTGTGATAAAATTATTATCCGTCTATTGTCTTACACAGCTTACAATAGTATTGTCTACAAATCCAGCCCCTTGGGAAAATACAATACAATCTCGCAGAGCTGTCCAGCGATAAAGTAAACTGAAGCTTCAAAACATCGGTTATTGTCTGAAAATGAAGTTTCAAGTGGATCGTGCCTTACAAAAATCGAATTCCGTTTTGGGACATGGAGATTACTTGTCCATAATTAACTCTTATCAATTGGCCTTATCTTCTAATATGTTACGTCTCTAAATTGCATATGTATCAGGAGATATTCTTGATCGTTTTTTACTTAGTGAAGGTTGATATAGGGAACGGATATGGTAGATGGTCAAGGATATGCATTACAAGGGAGATACAAAAATATTAAATTTAACTAAACGAGTATAGGGTGCTTTATTCTTTTGAAGTTTTTATACCCCTTATTTGAATTGCGATAAATATATCTAAATCTAGTCAAGTCGGTTTAAGGTACATGTACCTTAACATTCAGTACACAATCATTAAATGTGAATATATTAAGATGACTCAAAATTACAGGAAGAAACAGAGTTATATCGGGGACTAATGATATTTGCAACTATGAGGCGCAAGTTTAAAACTGGACCAATATACAGCTTGTTGTACAGGAATATTTAACATTCACCGATGGTGATGTTGAAGTAGCTGAAAAGATAAACCTGAGCAATATTAACCCCCCCCACCCTTGAAACACACACATTTTTTTTGACTCAATATTTGCAAAATGAAGTTTTATTGTTTTTGAGATTTGACAAACGTTTTAGAATGTTTATTTTTGTTCTTTACAACGAATGGTCCTTTAGCGGTTTAAGACCCGCCCATTGAAAATAAACTCTTCCCTATTTAAATAGTAATTTTGCGTCCGAATAACACGCATTTTGTCCGGACATCGGTATTACACCCAATGCATGTGGACTCTATTTATATCCCCACACATCTAATCCAGACCGATGTTTATTGATTGTGTCCTTTAATTTTCGTTTGTGACGTCGAAATGCCCAATATTTCACATATGTTCGCAAGCAAGCAGCACGGAAACTGTTTTTGTCACAAACTGGGAAAAGCATTTTTTGATAACTGATAAATAAAACACCCTATACAGACGTTTTCATTTCGCAGCATTTAAATATATCCGATATCTACAAATTCTGTCAGCCTGGAAAATTACTCTGCACAAAAATTGGAAGATTGATTAAGATTATGTTAAACGGATGAGCATTTAAAAGCAGATTTCAATAGTCTACAGAGTGTTTTAACAAACGTACCAAGAAAAAAGTTGTTCGTATCTTCAAATTTAAGCTTCTTCAGATCTACGTTTATATCAAGTCTAACGCGCATGTTTGTTGAAACATCCCGTGTAAGGGTGTTCTCTGAGTTGAGTTCAATGCGATACAAAAAGAATTAAAATTACACCACTTTTATACTAAACGACTAAATTTTAGATCCACAGATATTATTTTGCTATAGATCTGCTTTTAAATAGTTCACTGAAATCTGCAAAAACAATTACATGCTAAAAATTTAATGCAGCGTCATTCTTGGATGCGTAAACATTTTTCTCAAGATGATATTGTCGACTGCGGGTTGAAGGAGATATCGCTTGTTCTCTAATGGTACCTGCGTGATTTTGGAATGGCTGTAGTTTTGGGTTTTCCCATTTGCGGGAGTCTCCCTGTCGAAACCATCAAAAATATTAGTGGAATGTTAAAGTTTTTTATTTATTAAGGGTTCGCACATTTCAGTAATGTTTGATACCGATGCAATTCCCTAGAAGCCAAAAGAGACACAAACATGCTCATTACAGCATTATTCTGCGAGACTGACTTACAGATGGGCTTCGCTGGCAAGTTACTATCTGTGGAGTCTCAAATTATATACAGGGTGTTCGGAAATTGAATTCGGAAATTTGAAGGAAAATTTCAACGTGCAATATAATGGTAGTAAGGCAACAACAACAACAAAAATTCGAAATCGGAATATTTTCCGAGTTATAGCTTGTCAAAATTAATTTTTTTAATTTTATTTTTAATTAATTCTCAACTAAATGATCTAGTATTTTACACACAGCTCTGATTTAATAAATGTCATCGTTACAAAATAAAAGTGTTTTAGAAATCTGTCACTAGAGGGCACTTTACCTAGAACATTTCTTTCCCGTATTTTATTTATTTAGACTGATATTGCAAAATAGAACAAATTGCTTAAGCAGAATCACAAACCCTCAGTTTTATTTGCAGCATTTTTTAAATCCACATTTCGGGAAGACATCGAGTTTGCATCGATCAACCACCTGAGAGTTAGTTCTCTTTCTTCGTCTGTTGTAGTATTTACTTCAAAAATTTCTAGCAAACAAATTCTTCATATCCGGTACAATATTACTTCCTTCACTGCTGCAGAAAACAATCACCGGGAATTCATTGTTTTCAAACAAATTATATATATATATATATATATATATATATATATATATATATATATATATATATATATATATATATATATATATATATATGGCTGACCCGTCAACGAGTACGATAAAATTTTCTGCTCAGGAAAGAATTGCTTGCTCTAGAGTTTGGGAAGTGTTGCACGAAAATGATCTTTGGCCCTTTCATGTTCAAAGCGTTCAAGCACTGTATGCGGGTGATGAGCAACTGAGAGTAATTTTATGCAATTCAAATTTTAGGAAAAATTCCAAAATACCCGCAATTTTTAAATTTTATTTTGTTCACTGTGTGATGTTGTGATGGCATTGTAAATTTTCGAAATATGAATCGGGGGGCATTTGAAAATTGTAATCAGCGTTGTATATTGTTTAATTCCCGATTATTATTAATAATTTTTTACTTTCAAAAATGTTAAATGTATTTATGATACTTAAATTAAACACGTTATTGCGTTGCCTTACGCCATTTTGCCACATTTTTAATTTGTAGCATAGTTTTTTGAAAAATTTGGTGCACGTCGCCTGCGGGTTAATAATGCTGGCGCTGCATTTCCATTTGCTTTTTCGTAACAGAAATGTATATCGCGATATCCAGCATGGTAAATTAGAAGTGCGGGGAATTCCGGTCGAGAAGTCGATTTGTGGCTAAACGATAACACTCATCGTCTCAAAACAAGATTAACAATTTTTGAGAATTTGTAATTCTACTTAAAGCAATCTGTTATATTTTTCAATATCAGTTTAAATAAATAAAATACAAGGAAAAAATGTTCTAAGTAAAGTGCTCTCTAGGGACAGATTTCGCAACACAACGCAATACCACTGCGTTAAAAATGAAATAAAAAAATAATAAATTTCACAAGCTATAACTCGGAAAATATTACGATATCCAATTTTTGTTACTTCACTTACTACCATTAATTTACCACGTTGAATCTTTCCTCCAAGTTTTCGAACTCAATTTCCGAACACTCTGTATATCACGATACCCAAAAGTTGTATTCAAGTTAGTAGTGTTTGTGGAAGAAACTTATTTCCTCTCGCAGGAAGGCACTGCTCATAAATTTAATTTGGGATCACCATACATTTCTGCTTGAAATGATAGATAAAACCATAACTAATTTTATTAAGTTATGTATAATAAACATTTAAAACATTGAATGTTTTGCGTATTTAATTATACAAAATGTGTCTAGTTGTTTAGATAATGAAGAAAATTTAAGTTTTGTGCCACCGGCGTTGAAGTTTTTACCCACCACAGCACCAGATTATCCAAATATAGAATGCTATTATGTAATTCTAGAACAGTTGACCATGAGGCCCATTTCCTAATATTGACGTCCAACGACCATTAAAAATATGTAACCACTGGATAAACCAATTTATATTTTACATAGAATTGATAGAATGATATCTCTCTAATGATTCTCTGCGATTCTCTACTTAACAACAATTGACACATACAAAAAGCGATAATCCTAACGTCTTCTTTTTCACAGGTATAGGTAACAGGTCATCTGATAATCATTACGCCGTCGAAATTTAATATCGGTCGGTGAAGAAATTGACAAAATTTCCTGGGGTTTTGCTCCACCGTCCGTGTGCCTAGGGCCTAACGCTACGGTAACAATCAGTCCTTTTATACTTACCACTTACGAATATTAAATACTAAACTACTTGATCTAGAGACTAGATACAAAAAGAAAACACTCAATCCGCTAGTGTGCTATCCTGCATAGTCTACTTGAAACATCAAAAACACAGAACCCAACCTGCACATATCGTCATTAGACAGGCCAGTCGATCGACCAGATCTGGTATACCTTCGTACCGATCTGTACGATGGCAACCATCCCAACCTAGCTAGAGCAGCGACATGGCGCTTCTCTGGCTGAGAAGCAAATGGACTGTCTCGATCCGGTGTTCTGAGCCAGCCAGATTTTGCCAACGAGCCTGTTTGCGGAGGTAAAACGTAACAGTACAGTGCAACTTTGTTAATACATCTTGATCGTGAATATTTTTAACATATGTTTTACTAATGTTGCATATCTGTATCGGTATCCACTAGCCTAGCCTAGCCTAGCCTGGATGTTAAATGGACAACTTCTCCACCGGAAAATATTTGCCCGAATAGTGGACGATATAGAATCCGCACCAACAAGGAACTGGAGGATCTACAGTATGTCCAACGTAACTTGTAAAATCTTTTGCTTGCAATATTGCAATGAATTACTGAAGATGCACCAACTCATGTAGTAGTAATAAAACTTGATAAAAATAGATTAATTGTGCAATTTAAAAAATTAGACGTTATCTTGGTTGGTTCAGTCATGTGATTTATATAAAGCATGGATGTGGGAATTTTAATTCTATCAAATTCCTGTTGGTTGCATTTTTTGCTATCAGTTTTGTTGTTTGTTTAATGTATGTTAAGGCCTGCACTGAGAGAAAATGAAATACTAAGCTAAAATTAAAATAGCATAGACGGATTTTCAAACTTTTTGTCCAGGATAGATTCGGCGAGAAGTCCTTTCCCAAATCATCCACACTGGAAATTGTGACGCCGTTTTATAAAACACTATGCTATCAACAGTAGAAATTTAGCTATGTAGACTATGTAGCGGTTTGATGAGAACTAGGCTGTAACTCCATTTATATTTATCACTTACACGTATTTAAACATCAGGCTGGTAGTGCTACTACTTCTGATTCCTATACTTATAATCTTCCGGAAATAATACTTATAAAGTGAACTTATCAAAGTAAACAAATAAATGAATTCAGTTCGAGTTTAAGAATTTTCTCAAAAATATAATTGTGTTCTCGAGAAACAAGTTCTATCACGATCATCATGATTATTCCAGTATCAGAAACAGAAATTTGTATCCGACGAGATTACGTCCTGACCACAAAAAACTTATCCGGATTTTCATCAAAAATACTTCCTGTCCGCGTTTCTGATATTAAAATTTTAATGCACAACAAACAGGTTCTTTTATAAGTAATACGCAATAAGAAAGTCCATGTACAAAAGATGAGATTAAACGTAATACGGCTAAATTACATGATTTACGTCCCTTTGTAAAGTTTTCCGGAGAAAAGTATAAATTAAAATTTAATAATTTCCAAGGCGAAATTTATCACAAAATGGTAAACGAAGCAAATAATTTAAATACATTTTTAGCATTTACAATTTATACTTTTCTGGAGGTATAGGGGGCGTTTGAACCATTGTTCAGAAACATTGTACACAGTACACATATCCCCGCTTGTTATTAAGCAAAAATGACGGTTGTTGGACGGTTGGCTACGGATTTTCTACGAAAGCTTCCAGATGCTAATGCGCCAGTCATCGTAAATGAAGCGTAAGTCGTAATGCGACGAAGAAAAACCAACAGACCACGGTCCAATAGCAGGAAAATGGTATTTATTGCAAACTGAAACTTAATTTTCGGCAATAGTTTCTGGCGCGCTAACTTTTCATTTTTATTCATGTATTTAGTAAGTGCGAGACCGTCTTTGTAGTCCATATATTTATAAATATACATTGTTTAGAAACAAGGCATATATTCTGGACTAGTTTTTAGAAACATAAAACATTAAAATCAATGCGAAAAAAATACCAACCTATAAAATATGTCACTTTTATGTTTTGCGAGTTTTTGGTTACGATTTTTACAATATGAATACGAAAAATTTTATGAGACATATAATGGTTAAGGAATATTTCATTTGCATTTGTATATTCAGTTTGAAAAAGATTATTTTCGTTTTTGCTAGTATGTATTTCAAAATGTAATGCGTTCAATAAATCGATCTGATACTTGTCGAAACACGGATCGAATTATTATTATTGATTTACTTAATTCATTTATTTATTATATTAATTAAGATTCCATTTAGACAAGACCAGTTTTGTTTGTTCGTCTACCTAATACATTTTTTAAGTTTAAACCGTTAACTGACTTTTTTCATTTCTTATTTTTAACGTTTCGTATAGATAAGCACATTTGCTGTTAGCTAAAATCTCTCCTATTAACTTCTGAAATTATTCTATATTTCTATATTTTCTTCGGACCAATACTGTTTTTTTTAATAAAAAGGTTATATTCAACAGTCCTTGGCGATTTCTCACTTCACAACTTACCGGATTTTCCAATAAACATGGTGACACCTAAATCTTACTAAGTATTGTCATAACTTCTTCTAGTTTCTCAAAAAAATTACAGGTCGCAGTGTTTACATGCACGGTATATTCTTAGTAACTTAACGAACTTAACGAAACAAAAAGGTGTTTCGGCGTAATCTTGGTTGATCCACCCTGCATATGGATCTACAACGCATGTGCGTAGACAAAAGGTGCATTACATCAGCAAATTTATTCATTCGCTTGAAATTAATAGGGTTAACCAAAATGTAGTCCGATACATCCTTTGAATCGTATACCCTCAAACCCCGGATGCTGCGATATTTATTCTTTTCCATTCATTTATGTCCGAATCCTTCCCCAAAGCTTTCCCAGCTCAACACAAATCTATTTTTACTCACCCAAAAACCGTTTACCCTCGACCGAATAGACGTCGCCCATCGTCAGATCCTGAAGGAGATCGTCGTAATCGTATGGCTTTCCGGTTTGATACATCCCAAACACGTCACTGCCATTATTGTCGTCGAAGTAGGAGAGATCGGCCTGTCGTTTGTTCCGGCTGCTCTGTTTGTATTGGGCTTTGATCGACTGGATGTTGCGTTTCTCGGAACCGTCTTTCGAGGAATCCTGGAAGTTATCTGGAAACGAACGTCGTGCGGAATTGCGAACATTGGTTAAGTGTCCGTTCAGTTATGGCTTATTTGGCTGCGAATACGGAAAAATATCTGCTGTTTTGACGAGGAGGATTTTAATGATACTAATGGTATAGCATTAGAGAACCAAATAAATATTATCGGCAAAAAGAGGAAAATATTATTTTTGAAAAACTAGCCTGTAATGATGACTACTCCCACTCAACTAATTCAGCAATGGTAAGGAACCAAATAAAATGTGTATGTCATATATATGCAACCAACAACACAAAATGAAAAGATTCTAAAACATTCTATTGAGTGATAAAAATAAAAAAGAAAGTTAATTTGAGGCCTAATCCCAAGCCAAACTTTGACTAAACGGATATACGGTCAAGGTTTTTGAAGAAAAAAAATAACTACTTTAACAACAAAATTGCTATTTTCGTGGTTACCGGCATATATAAATGTTCGTAATGATGCGTGTGGATTATGCGTTTATAATAAAAAATATCATAAATCGAATGAGAGACATCACAAGGACACTTTCAAGCCAGCAATAAGTAAAAATTATAGTTTAGGTAATTTTATGTTCATTACCAACATAAATTTGATATTCTGTTGGCAATAAATAAACATTTATGTGGTGTTATTTTAAAATACTGTCGAAAACCATAGGTCTATTTTTTATAATAACTAAAATATTGCTTCAATTATAGTAATTATAATTATATATTTATAATTTTCAGCGCATTTTACATACAGTGTCTCCAAGATAAGGACGTCTATCATAGGGTATTGGAAACCATAAGACATACGAAGGATTAGAAATTACAACATTTAAAGCTTAACGTGCTGTGAAAATCAAATCAATTGAAATTTATTTTCGTAGACTTGATTTCGGGTATCGGATAGTATAAAATATAAACAATATATTACAAACACTGTTTCAGTGAAATAGGCAAATAATTAAAAAAAATTATCGACAAAACAACCGGACTATTGTCAGGGATTTTTTTTTAATCAAAATTGCTCCTTAACCGTTGATGCGAATTAGGATTTTGAAGTGGCTCATAGTAACGGGGATTTCATTTAGCAATTAACACTCAATTATAAATAAAAATGCCAGACAGAATTAGCATTCCCATATCACAAAATAGTTGAAGTTATTATTCCCTTCTGCAATCTTAATAACTTCTCCGGAATGTGATGAGTTTCCCCAACATACTTATGCAATAATTTAGGCAAAATAATATACACTCAATAAATCCATAGAAATTAAATTTCTTAATCTCCATAAAGTAGAGTGTTAGTATTTTTTTCAGTTTTGTCAACAGCATGTTATTAACGTTTAAATTTTGATTTTGTTGCCGACTTTCACATTTATAGAAGTTGAAAATTTTTTCAGCGAAAACTTATAGGTATGGTAGCGTGTGTTTTAGAAATATACAGGGTGGGCCAATTATCTTGGGACACTACCTTATCCCAGAAACAGAAGGGGATTGAATCAAAAGTTAAATACAAAAGTTAATTGAGGTATTACAAACCTTTAATTTATTTAAATTTTCTATTTAGAGGATGTTTAATTTTTCGTGGGAGGATATCAACTTTCTTATTTTAAATGGAACACCTGGTATATTATTTCATTTTGCCCTATACCTGAGTCTAACCGTTTTTGACATTTTTAATTTTTTATGCCAAAAGGCGACGTTTGCAAGACGTAAAGTTTCTGCCAATTTCTTCATTCGGAGGCATTTTTTTTTCACTGGAGTAAATTTTGTTGAAGACTCGAATAACGGGCTCGAATAACGGGTGTCATAAGAAAATTCATACTTAGTAACGCAGGGTACGCGAAAAATAAGATTAAAAATGGAATTAAAAAAAAACGCCAAAAAACGGTTTTTAACCTATTTAACCTAACTACCTATTTTTATAATCTTGTTGTATCTAGCATTCAAAATTAAGGCAATTTTATATATTTGCTTCTAAACATTTGTCTCTCACAAATAAAATGCTATTGTCATATAAGTTTAGTTTGTGGCTTATGACGGCGTTTTAATAAAACAAGTGCTACAGTACTGCTGATTTTCCATTTTCTAGTTGACCTTAATCTTGCCGATGCGCTTATGAAGATCCAAAGATTTTGTAAATGCATGTATGCATACAGAATAAGACCAAGGATACGCGATAACGTTGGTGAATATTTTATTAACGAACGATCAATAAAAAAATAATAGGTTACAAAGGATAATAATTATTGTAACAGTTGTTCAATATGCCCTCCACATTGAGCAATACAAGTGGAATAAAGGATTTCTCGATACATGATGGCATTTCTAAAAGATTCAGTCCCATTTAAATATCCGATATCTTCTCTTATCCGGCGTTTAAGTTCCTCAGTAGTTTACGTTTTGTGTTTGTAAACTAAACCATTAAGTGTACCGCACAGAAAAAAATCTAGGGGAGTTAAGTCGGGGCTCCTTGGAGGCCAGGCGTAACTACCATTCTCTCCAATTCATTTATAGTGTGCATTTAAATAAGTGCTAATTTCTTCATTTCTGTGATAAGGAGCGCCATTTTGCTGCCAAATTAAATTTCGTTGTTCCCTTTCAAGCACTTCATTTTCAACCAAGGGACGAAAGCTCTAAGTAGACTTGGGAATTAAAATTCTGATCAAAAAATACTGGACCTATTATTCTGAACCACCAAATGGCGCACCATGCTTTGACTGAAGTTCTACCTGATCTTGTAACTTCCATATGTTTTTTATTTTTCGTGTTGCTCCAGTAACGGGTAATTTTAGTTGAAGTTGACTGACAGACTGACGAATATGTCGCCTGTCCACATTTTAATGTATATTGCCTTCATTAAAAAATAAAATCTTATTTATCGAGAAGCGTTGAGTAATATATAATATCTTCAATATCTAAATAATAGGCACTCAAAGGATGGATACAAACAGTCTACCTATTTGCTGGATATCAGTTTTTATTTTACAGCGCTCTTTTTACATAAAAATCTATCGATAAAACTACTTGTAATAAATCATCGACTCACCAACGGTGTCTCGTTTTCCAATAATTTGTCTATCTCTAGCCAATGACTGGATGTTCCTCTTTGGATAATACGGAAGCTCTCCCAATCTGGCCAAACTACTAACTGACCTCTTTCCAAATCCTCCCCCTATAGGGTAATTATAGTTCCTCATCAGGCTGCCCAGGTTCCTCTTGTCGTAGAAATCCTCCGACGTATCCCTGATGTCCCGGAAATTCTGACGTCTTAGTAAGTCGCCATTTCTGGCTAAAGCTTCTATACCTGAAACGAACGAGATGTATTTAAGTCTAATTTTCTTCCATTCAAATCTATACTAAGTTACTTACCACGCTTCTGGTTGTCGTGTTGAAGAAACATTAAGGGAAGCTGGCCATTTTTTGCCAGGTTGGCGATACTCCTTTTGTAGTTGGTATCATCAGATTGGAGCGTATCGGGCAATGTTTTGTACCAAGTGCCAGAACGAGCTAATGCTTCAAGATTACGCTTATGTTCGTCGGGTAGATTGTTCCAAGCAGCCAATGATGCCAAGTTTCGTTTATAATTTCGGTCGTCCTCCAGTTCGGCAAAGTCTAACGCCTCTTGAAATTTTCGTAGCAGTTGTCGGCGCAGTGCTTGCACTTGCATGGAGTCATTCTCTTGCGGATTCAGTAGAGTGCGAAGAGTCTCGGTCACTTCAATGTCACACGAGCCATCAGTTTTTACCTGAAATTAAATGTAAATATATAGATTGGCGTCAAAATGGATAAACAAAACGCGGAGAGCATTGTATAGAAGAGACTAATTAGCTAGTCTCGACCTAAACAGAACGGAGAAAGAGACGTGATACTTGACTTTCCGATAAACGCCAATTAAATCATTAAGGTCCGAGAAAGCACCTAATTTCTATAGAGTTTCCAAAGTTTCCGCCCTTATTCCCGAAACGCTTAATAGTTTCCAACAATAATGTTACAAACATTGTAGTTTAGTTCCAAACAACAAAATGCAGAAGTTTCAACTTAAGGGTTTGAAGATTTGTTATCGGTAAGCAATTTGTTAACTATTTGCTCTGCGACATCTAACGAAAACATAACTTTGTTAGTTGCGCTTTGAAAGAAAGTAATAAATTACAATTTCGCAATACCGCAGTTCATAAAATTCAAATTATTTGAGTATTTTATCTTTTTTTATATAGGTGATTGTGTCATGCTTTCTAACAGTTTTTCAGTATCTTTTAGATTAGGTAGGGCCGATAACGTTTCTTTCTATTCTTAAATCAATAATTTCAATACTGTTTAGCACCACGCTAGCTTGAGAATGGCAAAAAATACACCGTTGCAGCTAGTAACAATCAGAAGTTTCTACGCGTTAACTTGTCGAAATAATCTAAAACAAAAAAACTGAAATAAATTATCACATTTATTATACTCAATAGCAAGGGCATTATAATATTCGATTTAGATGACACGGTCTGGTACAGAGTCCCCAGATACAAATTCAGGACCTTGTAATCACGGTTAAGTGCTCCTATTTTAATTAATTAACATCTGGAGTACGTGCGCTTTGCATGGGTTTGCTTTGTATAATTTAAATACCAATTGAATTTGCTCAGCAATGGTAAAGGCAATTTTCAGGAGCTAGAATTTGGTTTAATTAAATTTTGAGAAAGTCGTGTTTAAGTGATAAAAAAAACACTCCATATTGAATATAATAAAGTTTGGGAATCAAAAAGACAAATAGGTTTAATTAAATGGCGAAACGTATGCCTCTTTCGATGTTCGGCCACTTTGATAAGTTGCTGTTTGTATTACATGGTGCAGGTCCCACATTGACAACTCAACCGTGTTAATGAAGAATTTATCTGAACGCACTACATTCATATTCATATTGAGCGAATGATGGAAATCAATCGTCAGTCTAATTTTAAATTTAAATTCTTTAAAATTTTGACAAATTTCTAATTAATTTTGCATTGAGATTTGAGAATGAAAATAAACCTACAATTAAACTAAACCTAAAATTTGGTAATTTAATACCTCTCTTAACAATTTTCAATGCGTTTAGAGTATCTTATTCTGTTTCCTTTCTCCCAACGGGTGATAGATGTGTATTATGTTTTAAGTTAGCAGTTAATATTAGAAGAAAAAAAGATATAATTATTGATGTAGATACTTAACATGCTTAATGAATGCCATTTGGGCCCAAGAATAAAAAAATTTACAAACAATGAATCCAAAAGTATTAGGACACGCGAATATATTTCAAAAATCACTAGCACTTGAATCAAAAGGTCTATTTTTCAATTCAATTCAATAAATAGTATATTATTCTAATGACTGAATGGCTTATTATCGGAGGCCGACGCAATATATTACAGAATTAGGATAGGTTTATAAACATAAAGAGAATAGGCAAGGTCCACAAAACAAATTTCGCCTTAGTTATATAAGGTTTTAGAGGTTTTAAAGTTTTCGAAAATTTAGCGGGTGCATTCACGCGTAATTAATTATTTTCCGATTTTTTTGAGATATGAAAAGTCATATTATCTACTATATTTTTAATTTTAAATTGTTAAATTAATATAGCTCTCAACAATGTACATTGATATTTACCAAAAGGTAACTGATATTTATTATATATGATATTTTAAAGAAATATTATAAATGCTATATGCAAATTTTGCGAAATCTAATATGCAATGTCAATATTTTTTAAAACCAAGAATATCATACACCATTGCCAACTAATTATTTATTTTAAAAGCAATCTTCACTATAACTTAAAAGCTCCTATGATTCGTCATGTTCATGTTATTCATGTATCATATATGTCATTTGTGGTTATGGATGGCTCCTTTAAACGTATATTCTGGGGGCTAAAAGGGTAATTCTTTCTGCAACGCGTAAAGTATATGTCATGTCGTCGAGAGAAGAATTACTAAAGCAATAGTTAAATGTGAAATAGGAAAGAATAAGAGAGATAAACAACATAATAATAGCAAAATGTAGAGCTATATACAGGGTGTTCCACGGCCTGACTGCTATAGCTTGGGAATGTGTGCCTGGGGTGACTTCAAGTAAAAAATGTCAAATGAACATATACCCGAAAAGCTATTCTAATTGAGCTACAACCATTTGAAATTTTAAAGACCATTTAAAAAGAAACCGTTTTATTGAAGTAGTTGCTCCAGTATTACGTTCTAGTCAAGGCGGCTCTGAATCTTATCAATTAAATTAATTTTAATGAGCAGCAGTTGATCGTTCCACTCGTAAAGTGCCTTGTAGAATGTCTATCGATGTTTGAGAGAAACAGGCAAGTCTCCTACAGCTACTTCTGAACGTCCCGTTCAAGAAGAACTTGTAATACTTAATACGATTGACGCTCGACCTTCTACTAGTGTCCAAAGAATAGGTAACGCACCTAACGAAGGCCGGATGAAAGTATGAAGAACTTTCACAAATTCGGTTTGTACCCGTACCATATCTTACGTATACAAGCTTTAAAACCTGAAGACTACGCTTCAAGATTTGAATTTGGTCGTTAGATATTGAGAAATCAAACGATATATCGGATAATATTATTTGGTGATGAAACCTCATTCACCCGAAACGGTATCAACAACACCAGGAATTCACATTGTTGGGCATTTGAAAATCCACGATAAACTAAGAAAAAGAAAAAACTAAAGAAAAGAAAATTTTCAAGATAGATTTTCGGCAAATATTTGACGTGGCATTATTGATGACCGCCGCATAATTGACCGCTTACAATTGAAGAACGTGGTCTGAAGGATATTCGTTATTTACGTTTCGTTGAAAAGGATGATCAATATTACTGGATTACAGGATGGATAAGACAACGAATGTGGATTCAGCACGATGGTGCACCTTCTCACTTTGGCCGACAAGTAACAGAATTTCCTAATCAAAATGATAAAAACAGGTGGATTGGAAGAGGTTCAGCAACTTAAATTACTTTTTATAGGAAAGATTAAAAACTATACTTTATGCAGAAAGTATTGAAAACAGAGAACAACTGGCAGCTAGAATTATGGACGCAGCAGAAATTATTCGTGCTAATCGTGAGACTATTAGCAGAGCTACCACTTCAATTCTACGAAGAGCTGGACTATGTATACAGCCATTGGGTGGACCTTTTGAGCAACTAATTCAACAAAATAAAATATAAATAAATAAAAAATAATGCAATTAAAAATAAAGTGGTTTCTTTTAAATGGTCTTTAGAATTTCAAATGCTTGTAGCTCAGTTAGAATAGCGTTCCGGGATATGTTCATTTGACATTTTTAACTTGAAATCACCTCAACGACACACTCCCAAACTATAGCAGTCATGTCGTGCGACATCCTGTAGATAAGAAAAAGTTGTTGGCATTAGAAAAATTTGTAAACTTTTAACAGACGCAGTGTATTATTATTATTTATTGACAATTTTCATTTCCGCGCGTGACGGAACAATATACAATTCTTTATGATTCACTTACTCATAACTGAAACTATTTATTAGTTTCAAATTACTTTTTCCTTAAACAAAGGTTTTGAGGACTACGAAAAAATGGCAAAATCGATTTAGGATTTACCTAGAAAATTATGCTGAACTCTACCCGGTGTAAGAAAAATTAATTATATTAAATAATCTTCTTTAACTTAAACGACACGCGAATACATCGTAAACGTTTATCCGACGCTAATTAAAAAGGATAAAAAGGTCTTGAATTTAGGGCGAGAATTAATGCAAGTTTTATACACCATTATATCCATAGAGCGAAGCTTTTTTCAAGCAAAATGGCGTAATTAAAATTCCGCTCGGCGGCATCGGGCCACATGTTGCGCTCAAAAGCGGATTAATTTGCGTTTATATTTACGACGTACGTCCCGAACGGGTTTTAAAAACGCCGGATAGTTTTTAAATTTATTTTATGGTTTGGCGTAATGACTTTGTTACAATTCTACTTGAAATGGTTGACACGTATGATTACACTTAGCTCCACGTACCGTGCAGGAAATCTTTTTATTTGTTATTTCTATTATTTATAAATGACATAGAACAAAGTATCAAGGATTCAAATATTTTGCTGTATGCGGATGACATAAAAATATACAGAGAAATAGAGACTGAAAATGATGATAGGTTATTGCAAGTTGTTAATAATTTGCTAAGGTGGTCAAATCATGGTTTGTTTGATTTTAAGATCAAGTGTAACTCTTATGGCAAATACATAAGTAAAAAGACCACTTTTTTAAAACACAAATTGAACAATGTTATTATTAAATCAGTTACCACCTTTTCGTTACACCAAATTAACCCTCAATGCAAATTTTAAGAATACTAAGAGAGACATATAGAAATATTGGGTTTCTTAATTAGAAATGCAAAGAAAATCAAATCGGAAGAAGTACTTTATTATAGTCTAATGCAGTCGAAGCTTGAATAAGGTAGCATAATTTGGTCGAATTTTTTCAAATTTATAAATACAGATGATTGATTCAAAAGAAATTCCTTTAATTTAACAACTATTTTCTAAAAAGAGAATATAATAGCTATGCCAACAACTTAGAGCTTTATAAAATGTCACTGCACAACAAAAGAGTCATGACTTAGTTGCTGTATTTTTTTTAAATCATTAATAACCTAGCCTTGGACAACGCAGCATTAAGTTCGGTATACTTAAGTGCCCCAAAATAAAAGCACACCTAGACTTAATTACCCGTTGAAATCTCCAGTCATGATAATGGTTACTTATAATCAATACCAAAGTAAAAGAGACAAATTGTTTACAAAATGTAAACAAAAATGTAATTTTAATTGAACGGACGCAACTTGTTATTGGTCTGTAAGCTGAACTAATAAAATAAATAAATAAATACATTTTTGAACCACAATTTGGCATAATGGCGGCAAATTAGATGAAAAAACATTTTAAAAATTATGCGGAGCGCAGCGAAGCGAGTGCTTAGTAAACGAGTGACTTAAGAAGTTTACCAAACGTGTTGCATACTATACTTTTTCTACGACCGTTAGTTTTTGAGCACATTTTGGCTTCTTTAGAATAGTATATTATGCAACAAGTGCGGTAAATGGCATTTGACTCACGAGTTTATTTAACACGAGCGGAGTGCAGCGGAGCGAGTTTTTAATAAACGAGTGAGTTAAAAAGTTTACCGAACGTGTTGCATACTATACTTATTCTACGACCGTTAGTTTTTGGGTACATTTTCGCAAAACAACACGAATACATTCACTGACATGATATTGATAAACGTCAAAATTCAAGCCGTGCGGTAAAACTAAAAAAATCCCATAAGTTTCGAATATTATGGGGCAATCTGTATAGTAGTGTCGGTTGTAAGCCACTTTGGCGGAAAAATTTGAATTTTAGGTTATGTTTGGGGTAGGGCACGAGCAGAATTCTTCATATTCGACTACGTTCGTTCACGAACGACGATTTTAAGTAAGGGTAAAGTTTTGTTGAGTTCTGTAAAATACGCAATTATACACCGATCTAACGTGCGGCAAGCGTCACTTTACCACGGATCCGAGCCACACGTTGTTTTGCAAAAATGTATCCAAAACTACGGTCGTCACTTGTTTTACAAGCCTTCGATAATTTTTTTTCAGAACAATTAATAATATGTTTAGTTTATTTATTCAATAGTCCAGCTTAACCAAGCAATCACTTAAGAAGAACAGTTAACGAAAACCAATGCTTAAAAACAAACAGTGCAGTAAAAAAGAACAATGATAAGCAAACTGTTGTGGAGTTAATGGAAACAGTATAATTTTATAAAGTCTATAATCATTAATTTAATAATTAAATTAAAATAATTTTCTAAACATTTGTTCAGCAGAATATTATAAATCGCTAAGGTACAACTACTTTATGGGCAACACAGGGTAAAGTGAAAAGCAATTTTGTCAATTCAACGTTGTTGTAAGTAAAAGTAAACTTTAAAATCCAACTACCTAACTCGACTTTTATTAATTATAAATATACATTCATAATACGCCAGGAGAGTTAGATATTCGTATGCCTGTGGATATTGGATATACAATCATTAACTATGAATAATCAAATATTTGATTTTATTTATTTATTAAATAATTAATAATTCATTATACTAAAACCCGATAAAGCAACTGCGTGGCTTTTGATCGCTCGACAAAGCGAAACGATAACTTCCATCGATGTTTTGCCTTAACGTTACATCCGGAACCCAACGTAAACAACAAACAAAACAACGCTCAAATACAAAGCTTTGCACAAAAAGAGCATATTATCGTTCATTTCGTTCGCTCGTCTCGCCACTCGATAACTTAAAGTGCTTGCAATCTTGCAAAAGACTTTGATATTCATGGATATTGCAAACAATAGAAATAAGGGAATTGTCACGACGTTGGCGGTCGTATTTCTTCCCCTTTTTCCGCGTCGAACAAATTCCAAATCCCCATTCAATTACGGCTCTTCGGTTCACTCGATATCACCGTTTGCTTTCAAGGAAAACGTTTTCTTCTCCCTATACGTTTTTGTGTCCAAGATATTAACTCCATTATTAATTTGAAATTAAGTAACCTAATTTATTCAATGTCATTAAAAACTGAAAAAGGTTCGAATTGCTGTTGCTGCTGCAAACTTTCTATTCTCATCAATTTAAGCAACTCCCAACGCCTCAAAGTCAAATGCATATTGATGTACTAACCAATATTTGGGTATAAATAACACTTAACACTTGACATAAAGTTCCCATTTAAATTGTCTAAAGTATAAGTACAGGATGTTTCGTTAAGGGTGGTCAACGATCACATCTGGAAAACTATTGGATCTAGAGATTCAAAAATACAAATCAAATCAAATCTTTGGAAAGTCTAATTATGTAATCACTAGAATGAGTTTTTTTTTTCGTGACAACACGAAGTTCCTTTGTTCCCGTTTGCTACAGTATTGAGCCTCAGACAAAACTTTCGCGACATATTTCAGGCTTTCTGAATTTCAGCCACAGCAATTGTGCAGTGATGTTATAACATAACATCTTTATCTAGTTCATTACTGGATGTCGTAAATTAACATCCATGGTTGTGCTAGCAATATAGCTAAGACATACGGATCATTTTTGAATACGTCACTATAGGTGACGTAACTGCACAACTGCTCTGACTGGAGTATACTGACGTTTTCTGAACCTCCTCACGGTATAAATGAAAAGTACTTTACCACGGGATTCAGTAGATTTTAGCCACACGTGGTATTTTTATCTGGATCTGGAACTGAACCCAGTGATTGTAGGGGTGCTGCTTTGCAAAAATGTGCGTGAAAAAAACATAGTATGCAAAATTTTGATAAACTTCTTCAGTTACTATTGGCTAAGATGGCTTTTATAAAACCAATTGAATAATATACTATTATCCTGCTTTAAAACATGTCAGCTTATACTTTTCAGAGTAGGAAAAACACATTTTTAAATGTAGGTGCTAGGGCGATAAATATAGGGTTTGTATAGTCCTTTCAAAATTTAGAATCTGCTCGTGCACCTAATTGTGAGTATGGTCTTTCTTTAGTTCTTTGTATTCCAGATTTTGTTTTTGAATATATTTACTGTTTATTTATTTAACTTTAATTCCTTTATTCACTCAAAAAGGTCTTTAGAAATGATTTTCTTTGTCGTTCTAGATACGAGAAAATATTTAGAACTAAAGCTGTTGCCATAACATGGCCTCATGTACCTAAGATACAACAAGATCCAGGAGGCTTTTAATGTTTTAATTTTCTAAAATACTCCATTGCTGCTTATTTAAAATTTAAAATAATTAGTAACATCAGCTTTAGCAGTAACGTAATTAAAGGTGGACTATTTGCAACCCGCCTGGATCGAACTTGCTCACGTTTCGCCAATCATTCTATTGGCTTCTTTGTGGCATAGGTGGTACTGGCTGCTATTCTATTCTGCACCTGCTTATATACTGTTTGAGGTGCAAAGGAGAGTGAGAGGTAAACAACTGAGTCGCGGTTAAGGTTGTATGATTGTTTATAGATTTCTATGGATTCTCGTTTTTTTTGTAGAAGAATTGATTACATGCAAGAATTTTAGTTTTATTGTGTTTAGTAACTGCTGAAGAATTTGTTTGTCGTAGCCTTACGGCTTTTTCATGTTCTTTTAGCCTAGTTGATATTTTTTTCACCTGTTCACTAATACGAGAATCAGTCACCCGAGAAAATGTTCATGCCCCTCCTTTAGCTCCGCCCACCCCCTTCAACTAGTATATAATCAGGTACAGAGCAGAATGAGAGCCACTTTCAGTTGATCTCTGAAGAATCCAACAGGGTGATTGGCAAAACGTCAGCAATTCAGAACATTTTCAAATGGTATTACAGTAGCCTGTGCCTCTTGAAAAATAAAAGTTGTGTTATTTTTATTTTTCTACATGAAAAGCAAAATATACGGGGACACCATGTAATTTACAGAAATTTATGTCATTATTTATAAAAGCCTTTAACAGCTCATATAAATAATTTGCTCAACCATCAGTCATTAATAGCTAATCAATATTTTCAAGATTGGTGGATATGTGATTACGTTTCTTAAATATTCAGTGTTTACCAATTCACAATTATTTATATCATATTTCAAAATATTCTTCTGATGGTTTCGTCGTCATTTTGTAAATATTATTTTTAAATTTCACTAAGTTATGATGAAATATTTACAATTCTAAATGTAATCGGTAAGATTTGCTACCTATTTTTATTTTACATTTGAATAATAAGTAATAATAACGTTCTAATTTACTTGTACTACTATTTCATATACCTAGCCAAACTTAGTGCAAATATTGCCAATCAGGTAACTTTAGTAAATCTGAATATAAACCTACAGAATTTAAGGTAAAAATTACAACTCTACATTCGTATCTAGAAGCATAATTACTACTTATGAGGATGAGGATGAGGCACTAATTGCGGAAAAAATTTGACCTTAAATCAGAATCACGTGTATCTGCAATTAAACTTGTTGCACGACTTCGCAGACAGACGAAATAATTTAAGAGCCACTTACCTCAAAAAACGGGGCACTGGCAACGAACAAGTACCACACTGCGAAATTCAAGCTCCTGACGGCGCCCATTTTACCCGATTAACGACCGAAAGCAAAAAAAAAGCCGAAACGATCAAAAACACTGTTGCTCTCCTGGATGCAACACGTAACACACTAAACGGCCGCGTCGCAGTCTGAAAGCGTCGGGACGCCGGCGGTGTGTTTTATACACGCCCGAGCCACCCCCTGTTTGCGGAGGTGGTCTCGGGGGCCTTATAGATTTTAACGAGGCCGGAGAAAATTATGAAACTTGAGTTGGCGATCAATCACAAGATTTCGACCGAACCAGAAAATATATTTTTTGATTTGTTAATAAATTTCCTAAATGTTTCATGTAATTTTAATCAATAACATTATATTCAAAGCCAATCGAACAATAGCAGACACCGACAAGCACAAATAGGGGTCTCGCCTAGTGGAAATTATGATAGAAAAACCACATGCCGCAGCGCTCTCTTGACATCAGACGAATGATGACTGTCGAAATATAATTGAAAAAAACAAATTAACACCTTTAAAATGTATATTTACCGTTATATCAAGTATCATTGATCCAGAAATAAACGTTGATGTTGTGGTACGAGAAAATAACAACGTAAACTTCTACGAAAAATTATAGGTGACAAATCTTAAGGCAAAGGGGACTGACCCAAAATTGTGAGCGAACCACATCGGAAGATAGTTTGGTTGCTCAACGTCCCATGTAGAGAAAAAATAGCACATTCAAATTTTGTAATCCCAATGAAGATGGAAAAAGTGTCCAAGCAATGAAGAAAAGACAATATAAACAAATTAATTAAAAAAAGTTATATAGTATTGATTTCGTAATAATAATAATAATAATAAAACATTTATTATTTTAAGCATAAAAATATAAAATACAACTATTTAAACACTAAAGCGCCGAGCTTTTAGTGTCCATTTTTGAAACTGTGGTAACACCTGGTGCAAAATTTACTCAGACTCTAAGAGTTATATTTTAATATTTTTCTTAAATGCGAGCATCAAAATCAAAAAGTTTATATTTATTAACAATTCCGGGAGCGAAAAATCTTCCTAAATGATTGTTTCTAATTTGTTGAAATTCCGAGCAGGTCAGTTAAACGTAAATGTCAGTTTTTTATGAAGATATTTTGGAATTTCAGTTTTAAATATTCTATAAATAAAGCTTATTAAATGCATTATTCTCTCGTCGAACGTGTTTAGCCACTGGAACTCCTGCAGTTTTCCAAAAATAAATCTCAAGCACGAGCATTGGACTTTTTGTATTCTTCATCTCTTAAAAATATTTGGTCACATAAACTAAAATATGGCAAAATCAAAAAATCAGCATGACTTTAGTCGTATTGTGTAAAGAGGTTTTAAAATAGAATAATCCTTTTTTAAACAGCTTTGCTTTGCTTTCAAAATTTGTCCTTGTTCGCTTTAAAGTGGATTTAGAAGGATTAAAATCGATAAATATAACGTAAATTTATTGGCAATAATATTTTATAACGCACACCTCAGTATCTGTACTTCATAACAAAAAGCTATATTCCTAAATCCTTAAAATTAGTAAATCCTGTGAATCTGATTACTATCTTCCCTATATACATGCTACCAAAATAAGGGCGCTTAATGTGTGTGTTGCGCTGTAGTGTTTTTAGGACCACAAATAATTTTATTCAGAATTTTCAATGGTAAAAATCATATGGTTCTTTTGTAAATGCCTCAAATTTCATTTATCAACTCCCGAAAAATCGGATAAACAATAACAACCCAAACACAGAAGTGAACATTTTTGAAAACCTTGTATTAGCACATTTGCCGCCGTATAGCGGCTATAGTCGGAATTATACCCAATGACGTCAAGCTGGTTGCCAAAAACGTATGGACGCTGGTTAATTCAAATTACAGATTGCTAATTGACAGTGGTGTTTTCACTATGCGGTGTTGGAGAAAAAAATAGTTTGAACAAGTCGACAAACCAATAACGTTTTTAACTGACAATGTTGGGCGTTGCACATAACTTCAAATAAAAGTATTTGAAGAATGAATAACCATCCGATATCCGTTTGTTTTCAAAATTTTGTTGTCACACAAAGATTAACAAAAATGACGTCATTACAAACTGGTATAATTCCGACAATACAACCCTCCATAGCACACACAGTAGGTGCTCGGTAAGATTTCAACAATAATCACAAAAACCAATTCCATCTGCTGCGTAACGAGAACTCCGCCGTCTTACCGTTCGAGGTCCTTAAAACGTTCGAGATCGGCCCTAATACATTATCAGGAACGAAAAACGGAATAACGAATTAATCCGGTATTCACCCATGCCGATTTGCTTGCAAATTGTAGGAAACCTCGAAATAAATGAAATTATACTGCTCGAGGACGCTTGGAATTGGAATCCACCTACATTTGACGCGAACTTTCCTCTCAGGGTTCTGATTTTTCGTCCAATAAAATTATTCCGTTAGCAATCAAACTTTATTCGAAACAGAGTTTTATATAAAATAGTAGATTATGTTTCTGTAGGCGCAAAAAGGACGTCGCGGAAGAATAACGTCATAACAAAACATGCATTGAATTTTAGCTTTTTTATTTCTAAGGAAGGTCAGTTAATAGAGAAGATTTATTTGAACAAATCGGATGACTATAATATAACTTCTGTAAGTAGTAACTATAGTAAATGACTTCTACGCTTCTTCTTTTTCTTCTTCAAGTGCCATGTCCTCCCAGAACATTGGCGATCAGGCGCATGATCTTCACTTTTTCTGAAGTAGATCTAAACAAATTTTTGACCCATTTTCCCTGCATGATTATATGGAGCAATTCATATTTTTTATTTCTCATTACGTGGGCAAAATACTCCAGCTTTCTTCTTTTAATGGTATTAAATACCTCTCTTTCTTTGTTCATATGTTGCAGAACCGCTTGATTCGTCACTCTGTCCACCCATAATATCTCCCGTAAACCCACATTTCGAAAGTCTCAATCCTCTTGCATATTGTGTCTATGACGGTCCATGCATCCATACCGTAGAATAATATGCTAGACATAACAGCTAGACATAAGCGCATTTTTCTTCTATTTTGTTTTTGATTTCTTGAGTCGAGTCCCAGTTTTCATTCATCCTGCACCCCAAATACTTCCATGTTTGTACTCTCTCCACTGCTTCTCCATTTACTCTGCTATCTGTTTAGTAACTAGTTATGTTTTTGTTGATGCATATCCATGTGGTTTTCTTTATATTTAAAGGTAGACCCATTTGTTAGGTCTGATCTGTTACCGCTGATAAAAGTAGCTGTAAATCACCCTTATCTTTTGCTAGTAAGACCGTGTTGTCAGCGTATCTGAAATTGTTGATGGCGATTCCATCAGCAATTACACCCACTGTTCTTTCTTCGACGGCTTCCCGGAAGATTTTTTCTGCATATAAATTAAACAAAAGGAGGGAGAGTACATCCTTTTTCAACTCCTCTCATAATAGGCACTTCCTCAGATGTCTGGCCGTTAACTGTTATGTCACCTGTCTGGTTCCAGTATAAGTTGGCTATTGTCCAAGCTTTGTATTTAGTTCTGGTACTTTTCAGCTTAGCTTGACTAACCTCTACCAGTGATATTTTAATCTATCTCCGTGTGTTTTCAATCTCGTCTTCATTTAACGTTTCATGAATTATACCCAATATTGAATTTAATTCTTCTCGCACTTGTGTTCTTATTGCTGAAACTAAAAGCGTTTTTGTATCTATAGTTTGTTTGGTCTGAGATTTTTTGATCTTTTTTAATTTCAGTTTTAATATAGCAGCATTTTGTATGATATTCCTGAATCTTTTTTAATAATGATGAAGTCTATTTGGTATGCTTCTACTGACGACAAATAATTGATTTTTTCTTTGAAACCTAGATTTGAATAAGAGAACAAATCAATACACTCATTGCCATTATGTGACGAGATTAAACGGATAATATGAGATTTTTTGATATATTTGCTCTATAAAAACATTTGGCAAATAAGTTGTTAATTCTTAAGTTTCGCGGCAAAGCGATGACATTTATGAGTGAAAGTAAATTATTTGTCACTTTGTAATAGTACAGAATGTCACTATGGATGCGACGCTCATCAAGGGTAAACAGTCTTCAAGCTCAGCCAGATTAACATGATTATAATAACCAGAACTTTTATAAGCAAGGTATCTTAAAAATTGTTTTGTATCGATTCCAATCTGCTCTTATAGAAATCGTACTGGGGTGTCTAGACAACAATGCAACGATGATAGTGACAGAGTGTTTACAATTTGTCAAAATAAAGTCAGGTATTTTAGTACATTGACTACTTCTATGATCAGAAAAAATCATTTTTGTGTCGTATACTAACCCTAAATCTTTAATTTTTTATATTTGCTTTATTAAGTGATATTTACTGTACCATTATTGTGACCATTACAAAAGTTGTAGGTTGATTTTTTTGTTAACGAACCTGAAAGGGATAAACATTTTAAAAATCCAAATACGAATAATACGAATGGATCCGCTAATGCGACTCGATTGGATCACGAGTAACCAAGAAAACCCATAAAAGCTGGAAAATTGCTCCGTATCCTTCTGCAAATGACGTGGTAGCAAATTGTACGTATTTTATGTGGGCTTAGGGTAAAGGGTTTAAAGCCCTATTTTTAGTAGGATTTCAATTTTACGAAAGCCGTGCGGGAAACAGGTGAAAATGTGCTACAAAATGACTGCGCGTGGGTTATCGCTTGTCTTATTCGCTTCTTCTATTCATTCCTTTGCAGCACTGGGATTGGTTTAATATTTTTCTTTTTATGTGCAAAAAGACAAACAAAACACAATCGCAGCTGCGAGTGGAATTTATAACAATATATCGAACGGAAAACCCTCAAAAAATATCAGACGTATCTCAAATGTGAAAGTTTCTTGTGCGGAACTGCTTTTAACGCTCACCTATGGTCAAATGTTTTCAATATTTGGCCTATCCGTTTTTTTGACAGCCAATTCGTTCGCGCAACCAACTATAATGGTAAGACAGGTTCAATGCAAAATGTTTATCTAATATTTTGATTATATGTACGTTTATGCAACATCCCAATTGTATTAAAATTTATATTAAGA